TGACTTCCTGTCTCAGGGAGGTCATGTGTCCTTCAACATAAAAAATATACAATCTAATTCATATCAAAAACAACTGCTCATGTTTGGATCATGATTAAAATGCAGTGGTTGCCTCTAATTTCAAATGGCTACAGATATTTTTAAGGCCAGTTTACTTGTTATAGAGCAAATGAACAATAAATACATTTGCTTAAAAATAAATAAATAAAAATAATAAAAATCCACAAACAGAATCGGAATCATCCCATTTACTTGTTAAAAAAAATCGAAATCTGCAAAAAAAAAATCATGATGGGAGCATCTCTAATAATAATAAAAACAAAAATGGAAGTACAATCTGGGCGGTCTTTTTCAGTCAATTCTTCAATAGGGATATCTTGTCATTTATAAAGGCTGAGGTCAGGGATCTTGGGCTTAAAAAGGTTGGTGACCACTGATGACATGATTAGTGATGAGAGACAACCAAATATCTGCAGAAGGATATGCTGGCAAGCCCCTTGGAACTGCACTTATGCACTTAATGCAAAAGAGGGCAAATGAGAGAAGAAGCATTTAAAAGATTAAAAAGGCAGAAGCAAGGAGGTTGGCAGAGATTATGCAAAAGAAAAACATTTTAATGTGTTCAGAAGTTTGGGGTCGGTAAGATTTAAAAATATATATTTTTGAAAGAAGTCTCTTATGCGCACCAGAGCTGTATTTATTTGATAAAAAATACAGTTAAAACAGTTTACAATTTAAAATAAGTGTTTTCTATTTTAATACATTTAAAATATAATTTATTCCTTTGATGGCAAAGCTCAAATTTCATCAGCCATTACTCCAGTTTTCAGTGTCACATGATCCTTCAGAAATCATTCTATTATGCTGACTTGGTGCACCCAAAATTTTTTTTTTTTTATTATCCATGTTGAAAACATTGCTTGATATTTATATGGAAACCATTATGCATATTTTCAGGATTCTTTGAGAAAATTACAAAATTGTAATTGCATGTATTTGAATTAGAAATCTTTTGTAACAATGCAAGTCTTTACGGCCACTGTTTTATCAATTTAATGCATCCTTGCTGGACAATAAGTATACATTTTTTTTTTTTAATAAATTAAACCTTACTGACCCCATAAACAGAAACAAAAAACAGTGCTTTACACAAGCAGATTTCAATATCTAGGGTACTATTTCCCATAATCCATCTAAGTGACAATGGCTGTCCTTCTGCCACCACAAAACATGATCTGATGCAATAGATAGGCATGTGTCCAGTGTCCAGAATCAGATTTCATCTGTCAAATGTACCCACATATGTAGAATGTTGTTCATTTGATGTAAGGGATAATACAATTTTTAGGCAATACAGTATTTTGACTAGAACACATGCAGAACACACATATGCGCTTGATCTTCTCCAAAGTCAAGATTATACTGAGCCACATCTGCCATATTCATGTGGTCTGTGATGAGCATGATGTCACCAACATTAAAGCACCTCCTGCTGCATTAGTGACCATAAAAATGTTCACACTCAGCAAAGCTAAGACACACACAGGGAAACACACTCATACTGTACACTCATATATCAGAATCAGAATGAGCTTTATTGCCAGGTATGTTTACACATACAAGGAATTTGTTTTCGTGACAGAAGCTTCCACAGTGCAACAGAATGATAGTGACAGAACAAAAAAACACAGATAAAAAAAAAAAAAAATAGAACGTGAAAGAAGCTCCCACAGGGAAAAAAAATGATAGGAAAAAAAAAAAAAACCAAAAAAAAAAAAAAAAAAATAGAACAAGTAAATAAGGAATAAAAATATTATTGACAATTGTATGTGCAGGTATATTACAATAGACAGTTTTGTATGTACAGGTACTGTATATTATGTGCAAATTTGAGGTGTAGACTGCATATGAGTGTTAGATAAATAAGTATATGAGTGTATAAATAGTGTGTGTTCCACAGTTATTGTTAAGTATTCATGGGATGGATTGCCTGAGGGAAGAAACTGTTCCTGTGTCTGGTCGTTCTGGTGCTCAGTGCTCTGTAGCGTCGACCAGATGGCAACAGTTCAATTTCAGTTTCTGCCTGTAGGTCGGTATTAGATGAACTAAACAGTGATCAGAGAGCCCCAAAGCTCCTCGTGGAACAGAGTGATATGCA